CTCCGGGGTCAGGTAGAGCAGCTTGGGAGGAACTGGTGAGAAGGGTCTGGGGTAAGCTTCCAGCACTGAGAAGGATTTGAAGATTGGAGCTCGGTACCGAGGGTCTGGGAGAGGAGAGGCTGGGGGCTTGGACTCCTGGGTCCTGGGGTAAGGGAGGGCTTGAAGCCCAGACTCGTGGGTCCTGGGGGTCTGTCACCCATACCCAGGACGGAGAGGATCACTCTGGGAGACACGAGCTCTGGCCCCATCTCGGAGCGGCCGACCTGGCACTCATACTCCGCGTCATCGCTGAGGTCACAGGCCTCGATGTGCAGGTGGAATTCACCTGCAGGGGGAGCCGGAGGTCAGGGTTGCAGCTTCGGCTGGTGGCTGAGGGTCTCAGGCTCTGATCCCTTACCTCTAGCAGGGTCCCCTTCCAGGCGGTACCTTGGGAAGCCTGGGATCCTGGGGTCGGGGCCCAGGAGCAGCCCATCTTTGGCCCATTGCACCGCACTGCCAGGGGTGCTGACCCCACACCGTAGCTCCACCGAGGCCCCCTCCACCACGGTCAGGTTTTCAGGCAGGGCCCAGAAGCCCCGGGGGACGGAGGCAGGAATCGCCAACTGCGCCAGGCCTGGGGACACAGCAGGGTGCAAGGAAAGGGCAGAGGGTTTGTCTAGGGAAGGTAAGTGGGAAATGGGGGCCACTTGGCGATGGGTACAAGGCTGGGATCCCACTCACCTTCAGTCAGCAGCCCCAGGAGCAGGAGAGGAGCCTTGAGCATCGTCCCCAGGGCCATCACAGGTACCCCCACTGTTACCCCCGCAGTGCCCGCAGCCAGCCACCTGCGTCTGTCTGGCTCTCTCTGGGTCCCTCTCTCTGTGTCTCTGCCATCTGCTTTTCTTTTTATCTCTCTTTCCATTACTCTCCTGCCTTTCTGTTTTCCTCTCCTCCTGTCAGTGTCTCTCTATCTCTGTCTTGCTCTCAGTCTCAATCTCTGAGTCTCTTTCTCTGTCCCTTTAAAATAATTTTTTTTCTTTTTTTTTTTAGAGATAAGGTCTCACTATGTTGGCCAGGTTGATCTCAGACTCTTTCCCTCAAGCCATCCTCCCGCCTTGGCCTCCCCAAGTGTTGAGATTACAGGCATGAGCCACTGCCCCCAGCCTGTCTCTTTATCTTTCCATCTTTCTCTCCTTGTCTAAGGCATTCTCTCTCCTTTTGTCTTCGTCTCGTCCTCTCTTTCTCTCTCTCTCTCTCTCAGTCTCTATCTTTTCTCCTGCCACCCCTCACCCCTGCTCCTTGTCTCACTACTCACGGCCTCTCAAGAAGGACCTGCAGCCCAGAGTCCAGCAGGCCAGGAGCCCAGGACAGCAATGAGGCTGATGCAGGTGGCAGAGTTGGCCCTGCTCTCCGACCCAACTTGAGCTCATCCTCACAGTGCAACCTCCCCCAGGTGCCCTCCAGAGCCCCCAGCTCCGGCCTCTGCCCAGCAGGCTCCTCCCAGCCAGCTGGGCCGGAGCATAAAATCCCCTGTCAGCACATGCCAGGCGTGTTCCTCGGTGCCTCCCCAGCCTCCATGACCCCAGGGCCTGGCTTAGGCTGGGAAGACGGGAGAAGTCAGACCTAGGTGGTCTCCCAGCTCAGCAGGGGAGCAGCCAGCTGGGCCCCCAGCTCTTCCCTGCCCTGATACATGACCTTGGGAAGTCTCTTTCTTTCTTTTTTTTTTCTCGAGGTAGTCTTGCTCTGTTGCTCAGGCTGGAGTGCGGTGGCATGATCTCGGCTCACTGCAGCCTCCACCTCCCATGGCTTGAACCTCCCAAATTCAAGCAATTCTTCTGCCTCTGTCTCCCAAGTAGATGGTACTACAGTCGTACACCACCAGGCCTGGCTAATTTTTGTATTTTTACTAGAGACGGAGTTTTGTCATATTGGCCAGGATGGTCTTGAACTCCTGACCTCAGGCGATCCATTTGCCTCAGCCTCCCAAAATGCTGGGATTACAGGCATGAGCCACCGCACCTGGCCTCCCTTCCTTTCTTGAGTAGACATTAGCAAGTAAATGATGTCAGGGATCTCTGCTGGGGAGCATGCAAGAGTGAGTGTGAGAGACTGGGAGAGTGTAGGAGAGAGGGAAGATATCCGTGTGTGTACGTGGGTGTGAGTGGGGAAGGTTAGAGTGAACTGTGATCTGTAATAAGCACATGGAGAGCGTGTGTGTGTGTGACAGTGTCTTACGTGGGAGTGCACAGGGTGTGGGCAGGAGTAAAAGACAGAGTCCAATTCTGCCGGCCCTCAGTATGGGTGCAGTGTGAGCCCAGAGTAGGCACCCTTTGGCAAGGACTGCATGAGCTTTCTTCTGTCTCTTTTTCTTGCCGTCTCCCCCATCTCTTCTTTCCTTCTCCATGTCTCTCCCTCTCCCTCCCTCTATCCATCTTGATTTATCTTTCTTTCTTTTGAGATGGAATCTTGCTCTGTTGCCCAGGCTGGGAGGGCAGTAGCATGATCTTGGTTCATTGCAGCCTCAACTTCCTGGGCTCAAGTGATCCTCCTGCCTCAGCCTCCTGAGTAGCTGGGACTACAGGTACGCACCACCACTCCAGCTAATTTTTAAAAATTTGTTTGTAGAGACAGGGTCTTGCTCTATTGCCCAGGCTGGACCGCAGTGGTGTGGTCATGGCTCACTGCAGCCTCAAACCACCTGGACTCAAGTGTTCTTTCTGCCTCAGCCTCCTGAGTAGCTGGGACTACAGGCCCACATCACCATTCTGGCTTTTTTTTTTTTTTTTTTTTTTTGAGAGGGAGTCTTGCTCTGTCACCCAGGCTGGAGTGCAATGGTACGATCTCAGCTCACTGCAACCTCTGCCTCCCACGTCCAAGGGATTCTCCTGCCTCAGCCTCCCGAGTAGCTGGGAATACAGGCATCAGCCACCACACCAGGCTAATTTTTGTATTTTTAGTAGAGATGGGGTTTCACCATGCTGGCCAGGCTGGCCTCGAACTCCTGACCTCAGGTAACCCACCTGCCTTGACCTCCCAAAGTGCTGGGATTATAGGTGTGAGCCACTGCGCCTGGTCACTTGGCTAATTTTTTAAAAATGTTTTTACAGAGACAGTGTCTTGCTATGTTGCCCAGGCTTGTCTGGAACTCCTGGGCTCAAGCAATCCTCCCATCTCAGCCTCCCAAAGTACTAGGATTACAGGCATGAGCCACCGCACCCAGCCCTTGATTTGTCTTTCTTTTTTTCTTTTTGTTCTCTTTTCTTTTCTTTCCTTTCTTTTTTTTTTTTTTTTTTTTTTTGAGATGGAGTTTCATTCTTGTTGCCCAGACTGGAGTGCAGTAGTGTGATCTCGGCTTACTGCAACCTCTGCCTCCCGGGTTCAAGCCTCCCGGGATCTTGGCTTACTGCAACCTGCTGCCTCAGCCTCCCTAGTAGCTGGGATTACGGGCATGCGCCACCACGCCTGGCTAATTTTTTGTATTTTTAGTAAAGACGTGGTTTCTCCATGTTGATCAGGCTGGTCTTGAACTCCTGACCTCAGGTGATCCGCCCACCTCAGCCTCCCAAAGTGTTGGGATTACAGGTGTGAGCCATCGTGCCCAGCTGATTTATCTTTCTATGTTTCTCCATCTGTTTCTCCATCTCTCTCTCTGTATTAAGTGGTTAAATCTCAGTCAATCTTTATTTCACTGTCTCTCTGTCTCCACATGTCTCTGTTCTGTTTCTCTGTCTCTGTTCTCACCTCTGTCTCTCCCCTCACCCCACACTCTGTCTTACACACACAGGAGCTCCATAAATATTTGTTCTTAGCCGCACTGACCACGCCTCTTTCTCTTATGTGTCTCTCCATCTCTGAGTGGCTCCCCTCATCACATCCCTGGATTTTATAACCATATGCTGGTGGGCCTGCCCTCCCCGCGTGCACATACACTAGCCTGGGATAAGCTTCTTCTGCCTGCTTATCTCCTGCGGGAATTGGAAATGCTAGTTTTCTCCCCACCTCCCCAAGACCTCCCCCCAGCCTGCCTCTCGTTCCCCAGAAGGAGATGAGGCATCTGGCCCCAGCCCTCAGCTTCATCCTCCATACTGGCCTTCCCTCTTCCCTCACATGCTTGACTCCTTGCCCTCCTCCCACCTCCCCTCTCCCAACTGCCCCCTATACCCCCTGGGAAATGGGCTGGATGCCGAGCTTGGTGGGGGGTGGCTCTGTCCTGGGGGCCCTTGCCAGATGGTGTCCCTAGAGGCCAGAGCATGGCGCTGTCCCTTGCTGGGGCCTTTAATTAGCACAAACCTTCCACCCTCCACCTTGTCTGTTTTCTTTCTCCGAGTGCTCTTGGGACCTTGGGCTCTCCGTCTTTCCATGTACTTCGCCCCAGAGAGCCAGGAAGGGGAAGCGGCATCAAGTACCTGGAAAAACAGTCCCACTACTTGAGTTCCTCCCCAAGACTCAGGAGTTCCGGCCTCATGCCATCGTATTTCAAAATCCAGGCACTAGATATGCCACATAGAAGCCAGGAGTGTAGGCCCCCAGATCCCTCCCCTCTCAGACCCTGGGGTCTCAGTCCCTTCTCTCCAAGGACTCAGGAATTTGGGCCTCTGATCCTCCTGGCCACCCTACCCGTCCCTGCATCCCTCCCACCCCCCGCACCGGCCGCATACATACACACACACACACAGACACACACACACACAGACACACACACACACACACAGGACTTAGGACAGATGTTCACCGTCTGATTTCCAAATCCTCCTGGGCCCATGTGGGGGTGGGGAGAGATTGGCAGTTAAATCCACCGACTCTAAGACTTAAGACCAGATATTCTGACCCCTGTCACCCTCTTCCAAGTGCACCATGCTGCAGGCAGGAGACCTAGGAGTTGAGTCTCCAGCCTCTCAAGGAACCAGGAGATCAGGCCATCAGCGTCTCAGCCAGCAAAGGCCTGAACCACCAGTCCCTTACAATCCTGTAAGTCCAACCCCTACTCCCAACCCCACCCTGCCATTTAGGGACACAGAGTCTGAGCCTAAGAACAGCGTAGAATCTGAATGTGGACCCCCCAGTTCTTACAGATCCAGGAATGTCAGATCAGGGTCCCAGCCCCCCAGCCCTCCTTCAGGCTGCTCGAGGTCCCTCCCACCTGCTCGGCCAGCTGCGCAGCGTGGGAACGCCCCAGCTGGGCTGCATGGAGCCGTCAGGACAAGCTGCGCGGTTCCCAGCCTCCCTGCCTGCCCCGGCCCGGCACCGCCGCCTCCCAGCCGTCGCCCGGCAACCAGGCCGAGGGGCCCGGCCGGCCGAGTGGGGAGAGGGGCTGGGCCGGGACTGCGGGGTCCTGGGAAAGGAGGGGCCGGGGTCCTGGATTCCTCGGTCTTAGGACGTTTGCAGCAGTAACAAGGGAACAGCCCTCTGTTCCCCACTTTGAGGAGGGGTTTTGAGGCTGGGGGAGTCAAGACAGGGGTCCCAACTGTCCCCCAGGTATCGGCGTGCCCTATTCCCGACCCGCAAGCCAGGGGAGCCCCGGACCCCGCCTCCCCCAGGGCGCGGAAACTGGTGAGGCCCCAGGGGCCCCCATTTATAGCTCGGTTTCCACTGAGCGCAGTCCCTCCAGGACCTGGGCTGAGCAAGTTTCTTCCACTCTTTCCCTTCCCTCCTCTTCACCCCCATGCCTGCCCCTCAACCTCGACAGGGCGCAGGTGTCCAACCCAGCCGGGACTCCCTCCTCGAACCCAGGTGTTCCGGCTCCCAGACCCCAATTGAGCTGGGGGCGCCCACCCGCCGGGGGACCCCGCCCTGCATCCCCCATTCATCTGCGTCCAGCGGCGGGAGTTTCTCAATGGGAAGAGGGCGGAGCTCCTGGGAGGCGGACCCGGGCGGGGCGAGCTGGATCGGGCCCTCTAGGGGTCTCCCAGAGACCCAGGGCGCGGAACTGGCAAGCGTTTCAGAGCGTCAGAGGCTGCGGATGAGCTCACTTGGAGGACTCCAGGCCAGAGACAGGGGTTCTCTAGGCTGGGGAGAAGAGTCGAGCGCGACGGGGGCTCCGGGCCAGAGTGACAGGAGGAGGGCTTCCGAGGAAGAAGTTGACCGGGAGGCCCGTGCGACGGCAGATCTCGTGAACCTTGGGGGACACACGCTCAAGATGCGGGTCCCCGCCCTCCTCGTTCTGCTCTTCTGCTTCAGAGGGAGCGCAGGTGCCGCACGAGGGGAGCGGATGAATATGGGGTGGGTGTGGGGGGATTGCTTGCAGGCTGCCCCTTCACTAGAGAGAAGGGAGTTGGGGGCTGGGACCCCTGGGTCCTGAATGAGGGGGCTCTTGAAGGTGCTAAGCTCAGCCCTGCTGCCCCCAACTTTCCTAGGCCCGTCGCCCCATTTCCTGCAACAGCCAGAGGACCTGGTGGTGCTGCTGGGGGAGGAAGCCCGGCTGCAGTGTGCTCTGGGCGCCTACTGGGGGCTAGTTCAGTGGACTAAGAGTGGGCTGGCCCTAGGGGGCCAAAGGGACCTGCCAGGTAAGACGGTTCTCTCCACGCTGGGACGGGCTGGCTAGGGGTAGAGTTGCTGGGCTGGGCTGTACCTGCAGTTTCTATTTTGACATTTTAAGTTTGGGAAATTGATGGACTTGGGTAAACATTTAGGAGTCCTGATTTTTGAGCTGCTTCTTTGGGGGTGACCCATAGAGTTTTGGAATTATTATGTTATTGTGAAATAGTAAACAGGCCAGGTGCGGTGGCTCACGCCTGTAATCCCAACGCTTTGGGAGGCTGAGGCCAGAGGATAGCTTGAAACCAGGAGTTTGAGACCAGCCTGGGCAACATAACAAGACCTTATCTCTAGAAAAAATATATATATTTTAAACAAATTAGCCAGGCATGGTGATGTGCATCTGTAGTCCCAGTTACTCAGTAGGCTGAGGTGGTAGGATTGCTCAAGGATAGCCTTGAGCCCAGGAGTTCAAGGCTGCAGTGAGCCATGATCAAGCCACTGCACTCCAGGTAATGGTGAGACCGTGTCTCAAAAAAAAAAAAAAAAAAAAAAAAAAAAAAAAAAAAAAAGGAAAAGAAAGAAAGAGAACATAAATGCAAAAAAGTACAGTAAACATAAACGGAAGGTTTACCAAATAATATAGACACTCACACAGCCAATACCCAAGTCCACTGCTAGCTCCCCAGAAGCCCCCGTATTCCTTTCCCCTATCATAGCCCCCTCCCCCTCACTCCAGAAGTAGTATCTAACCTAACTTTTATGGCAATCATTTTCTTGCTTTCCTTTCTGAATTTATTACCCCCAAGTTTGCAGTGACTCTGGGTTGGGAGGGAGTTAGAGTCTCTATGGGCACAGTACCCACTCTTTAATAGTGTCTTACCACCAAATGTGTGGACCAGTCAGAACCATGGCGTGCTGCCTCCTCCCTGACTCCAGGGTGGTCCCGGTACTGGATATCAGGGAATGCAGCCAATGGCCAGCATGACCTCCACATTAGGCCCGTGGAGCTAGAGGATGAAGCATCATATGAATGTCAGGCTACACAAGCAGGCCTCCGCTCGAGACCAGCCCAACTGCACGTGCTGGGTAAGGACCTCGCCCACTTGTCCCCTGGGAGCCCAAGGGGGCAACCAGTACTAGCTGTGAGTAGCGGAGTCCAGGGAGCCCAGGGGAGTGGTCAATTGGAGCTGAGAGGATCCGGATCCATCTCTGACCCCAAATCCACCTTGCAGTCCCCCCAGAAGCTCCCCAGGTGCTGGGCGGCCCCTCTGTGTCTCTCATTGCTGGAGTTCCTGTGAACCTGACATGTCAGAGCCGTGGGGATGCCCGCCCTACCCCTGAATTGCTGTGGTTCCGAGATGGGGTCCGGTTGGATGGAACCACCTTCCATCAGGTGAGGTCCAAATTCCTGTGCTAGCCTTTGCCCATTCAGGAAAACTTGGGGTACACTCTGACTGCAGGCTCATCCCGAGGAGAAGAAGACATGGGAGGGCAGGGGTTCAAGGGTTTGGACTCTTGAAATATGATGCCGGGTAAAGATTCTAGGGCCAGACTACCTGGGTTCAAATCACGTCTCAGCCACTTGCTAGTTGATTGATCTTAAGTTAGTTAACCTCTCTGTGCCTCAGTTGCCTTATCTATACAATTGGAATAATAATAGCATGCATGTCATAGGGTATTGTGAGAATTAAATAAATAAATACCTATAAGTTCCCAGAAGAGTGCCCAACACATAGTGAACCGTATATAAGTAAGGCAAGCTTATCCAACCTGTTGCCTGTGGGCTGCATGCAGCCCAGAACGGCTTTGAATGTGGCCCACCACAAATTCATATACATTCTTAAAACATTATGAGCCTTTTTTGTAACTGTTTTAGCTCATCAGCTATCATTAGTGTTAGTATGTGTGGCCTAAGACAATTCTTCTTCCAATATGGCCCAGGGAAGCCAAAAGATTGGACACCCCTGATGTAAGGGGTAGATGGCATTATTATTCTTATCCATCCCTCCAGACCCTGCTGAAGGAAAGGACCCCTGGATCAGTGGAGAGCACCTTAACCCTGACCCCTTCCAGCCATGACGATGGAGCCACCTTGGTCTGCAGGGCCCGGAGCCAGGCCCTGCCTGCGGGAAGGGACACAGCTATCACACTGAGCCTGCAGTGTGAGTGCAGCTGGCCCTGGGGAAAAGGGGTGTGGGGCCCTGACTCCTGGGTATGAGGAAGGAGGGGACTGTGGCCCCTGGGGAATGAGGAAACTGGGACCTGGATTCCTGGATCTAAGAGAGTAGGAGAGGGCCGGGTATGGTAGCTCATGCCTGTACTCCCAGAACTTTGGGAAGCCGAGGTGGGTGGATCATCTGAGTTCAGGAGTTCGAGACCAGTCTGGCTAACATGTCGAAACCCGTCTCTACTAAAAATACAAAAATTTGCCGGGCGTGGTAGCACATGTTTGTAATCCCAGCCACCTGGGAGGCTGAGGCAGGAGAATCACTTGTATCCGGGAGGCAGAGGTTGCGGTGAGCTGAGATCGTGCCACTCGGCAACAGAGTGAGACTCGGAGCAGGAGAGGACAGATGGCTGGGGTCCCTGGGGAAAGAGGAAGCTGGGTCTTGACTCTCACATCTTGCAGAGTAGGAAAGGATAGAAGTAACTGGGGGAATTGGGAACTGAAAGCCCAGACTCCTGACTCAAAGAGAGAAGGGGATTAGGGGCCCAGACTCCTGGGGTGGAGGAACCAGGAACTGGACCCCTAGGCCAGTGACAGAGGTGTTCCTGGTCCTTGCCCACCTGACCATTGTCCCACCCTCACAGACTCCCCAGAGGTGACTCTGTCTGCTTCACCACATACTGTGCAGGAGGGAGAGAAGGTCACTTTCCTGTGCCAGGCCACAGCCCAGCCTCCTGTCACAGGCTACAGGTGAGGACAAAGACCACCTCTCCCTAGCCCCAAGAGTGAGCTTGGGAAGGGCTGGGACCTGAGTAAGTGTGACGGAGAGCAGGGACAACGCTAACAGCGCCACCATTTCCTCAGGTGGGCAAAAGGGGGCTCCCCGGTGCTCGGGGCCCGCGGGCCAAGGTTGGAGGTCGTGGCAGACGCCTCGTTCCTGACTGAGCCCGTGTCCTGCGAGGTCAGCAACGCCGTGGGTAGCGCCAACCGCAGCACTGCGCTGGATGTGCTGTGTGAGCTGGGGCGGGGCTGTGGGTGTGGTCAAAGGTGGGCGAGGCTTTCAGGGTTGCTGAGGGGCTTGGAGGGGCGGGGCTGGGAGAGTGGGCGTGGGGTATTAGGAGGAGGAGAGAGTGGACTTGGGGCATATTCTTGCGCCCTAGAGGGTGTGGTGTTTCTATGGGGCTGATCCCGGGTCAGGGGCTATTCCTCCCCGGCCTTGTGACCCCTCATCTCCTTCGTCCAGTTGGGCCGATTCTGCAGGCAAAGCCAGAGCCCGTGTCAGTGGACGTGGGGGAAGACGCCTCCTTCAGCTGTGCCTGGCGCGGGAACCCGCTTCCACGGGTAACCTGGACCCGCCGCGGTGGCGCGCAGGTGCAGCCCTAAATCTGAGGCGGTGGCTGACGGGGGACCAGGCTTCCTTGCAAATCCGGCTTCTGACGCCCCTTCCCTGTCGCAGGTGCTGGGCTCTGGAGCCACACTGCGCCTTCCGTCGGTGGGGCCGGAGGACGCAGGCGATTATGTGTGCAGGGCTGAGCCTGGGCTCTCGGACCAGGGGGGTGGCGTCGCGGAGGCTCGGCTGACTGTGAACGGTGAGAAGGCGGGGCTTCCTAGGGGACCTAGCCCGTCCTGGGATAGGGAGTGGACAGAGGGGGCAAGGGCTAATGTAGTGGGAGTGACCTGGAAGGAGCTTTACACCCAGCGGGGCCTGGAGACCGACCTATTGAAGGCGAGGCTTTTAGGGGAATTGGAGTTTGGAGGCAGCATGGCCTGATTGATTAAGGTTAGCGGAGAGTGCGCTGGCCAGACCCGGCTTTGTTACAGCCTTTGGGGAGGGCAAGGCCTCTCCTCTGAGTGACCCACCGTCTCCATCCCAGCTCCCCCAGTAGTGACCGCCCTGCACTCTGAGCCTGCCTTCCTGAGGGGCCCTGCTCGCCTCCAGTGTCTGGTTTTCGCCTCTCCCGCCCCAGATGCCGTGGTAAGGAAATGTCACTCCTCCCGTGACCCATCCAGCTGTGATCCCTGACCTCCCACCTGGCCCCCTGAAACTACTGTGACCATCTCTGACTTCCCAGACATCCCTCCTTCTTCTTCCTCCCCTCCTCAGTCTCCTCGGTGTCCTCCCTCTTTTATGCCTCCAGGTCTGGTCTTGGGATGAGGGCTTTCTGGAGGCGGGGTCGCGGGGCCGGTTCCTGGTGGAGACATTCCCTGCCCCGGAGGGCCGCGGGGGACAGGGTCCGGGCCTGATCTCTGTGCTACACATTTCGAGGACTCAGGAATCTGACTTTAGCAGGAACTTTAACTGCAGTGCCCGGAACCGGCTGGGCGAGGGAGGTGCCCGGGCCAGCCTGGGCCGTAGAGGTGAGACCCCAGCCCTAAGACCCCAAATCTGGAGAGTCTAAACCCCACAAACTCAGGGATCCCCCAGCCGATGGTTGCAAAACCTCAGACCCTCAAATGCAGAGACCTCCAAACCTTGGGAGTCTCAAAACTGTGGCTCGTTGATTCCCAAGACCCCCCCAACCACAAATGCCTTCACATTCTGAATCCTAAACCGAGAGACTCCTCACACCTAGGGACCCCAAAAAGAGAAACTCCAACGATTGCAAAGCAAATTGCAAAGTAAAGGACCCCTCAAACTCCAAGACTTCCTAAAGGCAGGGAGTTTAAACTCACTCTCAAACTTGGGGAACCCCAAATTCAAGGGCCTTTGAATTTCCAAATGTGCGACCTTTTGAACCCAGGGATCCCAAACTCAATCCCTGAGCCCCCGCTTCCTGGTTCCCCCTCAGCCTTCTCAGGATGTCCCCTCTGCTCCCTGCAGACCTGCTGCCCACTGTGCGGATAGTGGCCGGAGTGGCCGCTGCCACCACGACTCTCCTTATGGTCATCACTGGGGTGGCCCTCTGCTGCTGGCGCCACGGCAAGGGTTAGTGCCTGAGCCCCGCCCCAGCTCCTCAGGCCCCAGCCCCACACACACCCTGCCTGCCCAGTGACCTGACCTGGCCTTGGGCCTTGGCTCCAGTCCCATTTCCAGCTCTGCTCAGGGCTTAGTTCGCCTTGAGGTTCTGGTTCCCTCCTTAAGCCCTAACCAGACCTTCCCAGGGTCACATTCCTAGGTGGGAAGGATTCTTATTGGTTTCCAACATCCCCACCCGATCCGCCTCATTAGTTCCCAGTCCTCTCTCTTCCCGCTTGTTGTTCTGCACACATTGTGACCCTGTCCATCGCTTAACTCCACCCGTCGCTGTTCTTCAGCCTCAGCCTCTTTCTCCGAGCAAAATAACCTGATGCGAATCCCCGGCAGCAGCGACGGCTGCAGTTTGCGAGGCCCTGAAGAGGAGGAGACAGGCCGCTGCAAGGACCGGGTAGGATGCCAGGGTCTCCAGACCCGACTGTGCCTTTAGACCCAAATAGTAGCCCAGTCCCAAGAGGGCCCCCACATTCAAACAGGACTCTAAGGCCAGGCATGGTGCCTGACGTTGGTAATACCACTTTGGGAGGTGGAGACACAAGGATCACTTAAGGCCAGGAATTCGAAGCCAGCCTGGGCAGCATAGCGGGACCCTATCTCTACAAAAATACAAAATAAAATGAAATAAAATAAAAAATGAACCGGGTATGGTGGCACACACCTATAGTCCCAGCTACTCAGGACACTGAGGTGGAAGGATCCCTTGAGCACAGGAGGTAGAGGCTGCAGTGAGCTATGACTGCACCACACACTCCAGCCTAGGCTACAGAGCAAGACCCTGTCTCCATTTTTTTTTTTTTTTTTTAAGTAGGAGGTTCTAGTTTTTTTTTTTTTTTTAAACAGAATCTCACTCTGTCACCCAGACTGGAGTACAGTGGCACAATCTAGCACTGCAACCTCTGCCTCCCTGATTCAAGTGATTCTCCTGCCTCAGCCTCCTGAGTAGCTGGGATTACAGGCGTCTGCCACCACACCTGACTGATTTTGTATTTTTAGTAGAGATTGGGTTTCACCATGTTGGCCAGGCTGGTCTCGGACTCCTGACCTCAAGTGATCCACCCGCCTTGACCTCCCAAAGTGCTGGGATTACAGACATGAGCCTCCACGCCCAGCCTGAGGGCTCTAGTCTTAACAGTGACCCCGCACCCAAATGTCACCCAAGTCCATGCCCCTGACCCGATTATTCCCTAGGCCCACTATATCCTCACAGCCCTTTCTTTTTTTTTTTGAGGCGGAGTCTTCACGCCCTCGCCCAGGCTGGAGTGCAGTGGCGCGAACTCAAGCTCCACTGCAAGCTCTGCCTCCCGGTTTTACGCCATTCTCCTACTTCAGCCTCCGGAGTAGCTGGGACTACAGGCACCCACCATCACACTTAGCTAATGTTTTTTTTTTTTTTTTTTTTTTTTTTTTGCATTTTTTAGTAGAGACGG